AATATCAAGGTTGTGTTTGGTCCCTCAGAGAATGAAATGTAATCATGTGCAATTGGATATTTGAAGGAGAATCTGCATGTGTTGACTTCTAGTTTCTTTCTAGCTTCCTTTACTTCATTTGTCTTATTTTCTTTAATTCTATGTCATTTAGGAGCACCTTCCTAAAGAAAGTTCCTAATGAGGGAGCTGGACTCTGAGAGAGTATTTGCTTTCTGTTTTGTTTGGTCGGAAAACCTCCTTATAATTTTTCCTTGTGGTAAGTGTGAGTGGGTTAGTCAACCTTTTCTGTCTTGTCCTGGCACTTGGTTGGTGACTGGTTGTCTGGGTATAGGAATTTAGGTTCAGAATATTTTCCCTACAATCCTCTATTATTACCTAGAGTCCCAAGTTAAGGATGAGAAGTGTGATGTCAGCATGATTCTAACTTCCTTTAGATGCCTGTTCTTTCTCTTTGGAAGCTTTTATAATTTTTCTCTGTCCTAAGAACTCTGATATTTTACCAGGATGTATCAGGGTATGAAATGTTTTCGTTTATCCTGCCTGGCATTTGGATTATTCTTTCTATTTGAACTGTGCCATGTTCAGTTCAGGGAAGGTTTCTTCCATTCCTTCATTGTTTTCTCCCTGTTGCAATCTACCTTTTTTTTCCTTGTGGAGCTCCCAAAAGACACATATTAGACTTCTTGGATCTGTGCTCTGTATTGCTCAATTTTTCTTTCATATTTCCAGTCTCTTTGTGTTTTTGACCAGCACTCTTTATTTTATCTCTTGAACCACCCAGCTTAGTTTTTAACCATGTTTGGTTCATTGGTTAGTGCATCCATTTACCTGTAAAATATTAGTAATTATTTTTTGTTTCCAGGAACTCTTCTTCTTATCTGATTACTCCTTTTCCATGGCAGCCTCTTTTTGCTTTACAGCTCTGATGTCCTTCCTTATATCTCTGAAGGTACTACATCTCTGTTGCCTGCATTAGTCTTGTTTTCTCTAGTGTCTTTTCTATTTGTTCATTTGGGGCTGTATTTGTTATCTATTGCTGCTCAGCAATTTTTAAAACAAAAAACAATTTATTATACACCATTTCTGTGGGTCAGGAATCCAGGCAATCCAGGCATAGCTTAGCTGGGTGCCTCTGCCCAAAGGTGTCTTACAAGTCTATGATCAAGGTGTTGGCCAGGTCAGTATTCTCATCTGAAGGCTCAGCTGGGTAAGGATCTGTGTCCAAGTTCACTCATGCTATGGTTGGCTAGATTCACTTTCTTATCAGTTGTTGGCTTGAACTCAGTTCCTAGCTGGCTACTGGCCAGAGGCCTCCCTCAGTTTCTACTTTTCATGGGCCTCTGCGTAGAACAGCTCACAACCTGGCAGCTGGCTTGCCTCACACCAAACCAGCAAGACAGCAAGAGAAGGCAGATAAGGTGGAAGCCAGAGCCTTCTTGTAAACTCATCTTGGGAATGCCACCCCACCACTTTTGCCATATTTTATTCCTTATAACTGAGTTGCTTAGGTCCACCTCATACACAAGGGGAAGGGATGATATAAGGGTGTGAATACCAGAAGGTGGAGGTAATTGGGGGACCATCTTAGATGCTGCCTACTATGGGGGACTTTTCTGGGGAGGGCCTGGTTTTCTCAAGTGTCCACTGTTCCTTGTTTCTAAATATAGGGACTTGTGGAATATTCTAAATAGATGGTCTGGGTTTACTCCATGAATGTAAATGCAGGGTCATGAAACATGTGTTGGCTTCCTTTTCAGGTGTGTGGGCAGACAGCAGGAGGGCAGGCTGGGGATCCCCCCTTGGATAATTCCACACCCTTTCACCACATGGTTGGAATCTGCTACCTGTTACTTGCCACTAGAATATGGCAAATGTGATGGGATAGCCACTCCCTTAATTAGGTTACATTATATGACAAAGGGAAGGGGATTTTGAAGATGCAATCATAGAACTAAATCAGTTAATTTTGAGTTAATCAAAAAGGAGATTATCCTGGGTGGGCCTGAATTAATCAGATGAAAGACCTTCAAGAGGAGGTCAGAGATGCTCTCCTACCAGCCTTGAAGAGGCAAGCTGCCATGAGTTCGAGAGCTGCAAGGCAATGAATTTTTCCAACAGCCTGAATGAACTTGGAAGATGATTCTTCCCCAGCCAAGCCCCAAGATGAGGGTGCACCTTGGCGGACACCTTGATTATAGCTTTGTGAGACCCTGAGCTAAGGATCTAGCTATGCTGAGCCTGGACTCCTGATCCTACAGAAACTATGAGATGATAAATACGTGTTGTTTGAAGCTACTAAATTTGGTGGTAATTCATTACACAATAAAGAATTAATACAGTGCATTTCACTCCTGGGCTCTCTTAATGCCTTTCCTTTCCTGGTTCTTCCTCGTGTCTACAGTGGATGTCTGGAGTAAACCCAAGCTCTGCTCTCTCTCAGAGTCCAGCTCCCTCATTAGGAACCTTTGTTAGGAAGGTGCTCCCCTTTTCTACAGAGAGCAGACCTTGGACAGTGACCTGGGGGCACGTCGCTGCTGCCAGCTGTGCCTTATATTTCTTTATTTTGGGAGGGGTGTGAAGAGGAGGAGCTTAACTTCCAGATGTTCTGAAGGCACTTGTTGGATGAAAGGTCGTAGTGACCTCCTTGCCTGCTCCCATGCTGTGTATTTGTTCATTCTGAGCCTGGAGCTTCTCTGGGCCACTGCTGGTGAGAACCATGCTTATGCAAGGTGTATCTGTGGTTTCCACTACTCTAATTTTCCCACCCAGCTAATTCTGCTTGCTTGTTTTTTCTCTTCATGGAATTTCATAAAACGTCTGGTCTGTTGACGGCATATTTTCCTGTTTTCATAATGCTGTTATGGTTTCATTCTTTAAACAGAAAACAATTTTGCTAGCATTTCAATGGGACCTTGGAAGCGAAGGGAGGCAGACGTCAATAATGGATCTGCATGAGCTCAGCCTCACATCCTGAGCTGGACTTGCCTTTTTCTTTTTTTTAAAGAGAAAATAAAATGCTGCTTTGCTACCTAATGCTGATCTAATATATTTGTAATCAATTTGGCGTATTTCTAATCAAATTGATGAGAAAGGGCAGAAATATTATCATAACAATTATTTTCCTCATGCTCTATTATTATTTTCTCCCTCTAAAGTTCCCCAAAGCATACTTCTATGAAGACTCTGATCTCTTTTTTTTCTTCTTTTCCTCTCCTCCCACTTATACTTACATAGCCTTTCTTTGTATTCTCTTAGGGTATTTTCTCAGAACAAGTGACTTAAAAATATTTGCTGACACTATGTTCTTTTCTAACAGTAATAGCATGCGTGATGTAGGTGCTGAGGATGTCGAGATAATTGAACTCAAATTGTGATTTTAGAATTTTCTTAAGACTCTTTGAGTTCTGAGTAACACAGACCTGTTTCAAACTAATTTAGGTTAGAAAGAGAATTTATTAGAAGGAAGCTGCAGTATCTCACTGGCCTCCAGGGTAAAATTGTATTCAGATGTCATGAGAGTCTAGAACCAGGAAGTAGAAAGCTTACAGGAACCCAAGTAGCCTTTATCTTACTGTCTCTCCTGTCTCTGCTTTTCTGAATATCTTATTCTTTTCTCTCTGAGCAGACTCACTTTGACTGTTGTGGTGTGGATGTGGCCAAATATTGCTGCCCAATGATGGCAACCTAAATTTTCACGTTCATACCATTGCTGTTCAAGCAAACTATGCAGAAACACAATCCCAGATTCTGAGGGAAAGAATCTCTTTGGTTTAGCTTGGGCCAGTTATCTTTTTTAGCCTGGTTTAATGTAGTCATGAGGGCAGGTTTTGTGGTGTAAACATGAATGCCATGGCCCAAGTTCTCAAAGAGGAGGTAAGGTAGATCGGACAGCTGTCTCAAAACATTTCTGCTACAACGTTCTTGTATGCTGCTATTTCTCATCAGAGAGATGACTTAACTTGTGGTTTAAGAATGTGGGCTTGGGGTCAGACAGACCTTAATTCGAATCCCAGTCTGCCACCTACTAGCTGTGTGATCTGAGGTCAGTACTTCGCCTCTGTGAGGATCAAATTCTTTCTCCGTGCAATTGGGATCACAAATCCTGAGTTCTGGGGTTGGGGAGATTATGAGATGAGATAATGTATGGTACATCCCATGCACTCAATAAATAGTAACTATTATTAGTTATTACTACTATCATACCATTTGGGAAAGATGATATGACTGGAGGAATGTGCATTTTACCACCCTGAATAATAGTGCAAGAAGATCTGGAGGCAAAATTCCAGATGCGATAGAATTACCTCATCAGTAAAAACCTAAGGGTGAGTTTTGTCTTTACCATACTTGGCCAAAAAAAAAAAAAAAAAAAAAAGGATACAGTCTAGGCTGTTGGAGTTAGGGTCGAAAGAATCTAAACTTACTTCTAGAATGGAATTTTTGTTTCTGTTGGCTTGGAATTAGAGGAATCAATGGTCTTGCAATCCTAAAGAAAGCCAAACAGGGCTGATGGTCACTAGTACAGTCATAATAGTTCTTTCCAGCCAGTGCCTGCTCTAATGGTCACTGCATTCATTCTGCTTGGTGGCAGGTCTATTTTGATTGGCTGATACCTTACTCGGTGAAATATTTTGAACATCATCCCTGGAAACCATATGTCATTGAGTCAAAAGGCCTCATTTTCTTTGTTAAAGGAGACGCCCTACTTTCTTTTTAAAACAATTAAGACTTCCCTTGCACTTTTCTCACTTATATGACAAAATTGTGGGTGGCAGTCACCATTAAGTGAACTTTTAGTAAAGGATATGTAAAATGATAATGGTTCAAATTCTGTATCATTTAAGATACCAAATGTAAGCTGAAAGCTAATCTTTCTGTAAAGTAGAGATGTCCCAAACAAACTATGTTTATGGCTTTTTAAAAAATGTAGTGTATGTTGTTCTATATGGAACTATGGTAGCACAGTATCTCAATGACTAACTATGTCATTTTCTCTCAAGTTATGCAGACATTTTGATTGAGAGGGAAGTGTTAATGCAGAAGTACATTCATCTAGTTCAGATCGTAGAGACAGAAAAAATTGCAGCTAACCAACTCCGACATCAACTTGAAGATCAAGACACAGAAATCGAAAGGCTTAAATCAGAGGTATTTCCCAGTCGATAGATTCCTTCTCATGTTTCTCGTTCACTGTCATCTCATGATTGCCTCAGGCCTGTTCAGGGCACATTCTAATCCCAGGCTGAGTTCCTTGTCATCAACACCTACCTGGTTGGGCTGCGGACCTGGACATGAGTCTAATGTCTGCATTAGGATTAGGTAAATGGGCTATAGGAACATAGCAGGATAAGGTGGGTTTTGTTTGTTTGTTTGGGTTTTTTTGGTTATTTGTGTTCCTGGTGTCCTTCATTAGATCAGAAATTCAAGAATTGACTATAACATTTAACTGTTTTTTCATGGATTCTTATAGTAATCATAATCATGAGTTTGTCATGGATTCAGTTAAAGCCCCAAATGATAAGTAATGAAAGACTGGAAGTGATAAATTCAGAAGTACTTTAACTTTTTTTAGATCGAAGGAGTCCAGCCTTCTCTCCTCCAGCATTTTGAAAAGAATGTTTGGGTTAAACTCTAAGACATTTGCTAAGGTGCATTTTTTTCCTGAAGTTGGAATTCTTGCCTGCCCTCTCCCCCCGCCCCCAACTGACTATGAACTTCTCAGGCCCTGAGCCCCAGGTGGTCAGGCTGACACCAAGGGACAGCAGAAGGTTGTCGTGGAGTCCACAGCCATGGCAGTGTGCCTGGGTCCTCCCCGTCTCCCAGGTCTTGGTCTCTATAAAAGAATCCTGAGTTTACCTTTCCTGCTGCCCTGCCATTTCTCATGGGAAGTGAGCAATAATCGGAGACTGGAAGAGGAATGTAGGAATGAGATTTTTCCTGGCCAGAAGTGCGTTTAGTATCTTCTTAGAGTCAAAAAAGGGAATAGGACAGACAGAATGAAACCTACTACTACTTATATCCTCACTGACAGGAACAGTTCAGGCTCCTCAGCCTTGGCAACTTTCTTGTCACTGTCATCAGACAATATATTCCTTTTCATTTCTTCACACCTTCCTCTCAGACACACCCTGTGAGTCCTGTGTGGGGTTTTCACCTCCTGCTCCTTGTGGATATCGCCTCCCGTGCACAGAGCCTGGGTACAAGCTCATCCAACTGGGATGTGGCAGCTTCTCTGGGGATCACAAGCTGCAGACTGTGTTCAGCATATCATTAGAGTCGTTGATTTCCCGATTTTACACTGATATCTGATATAGTGAAAACGACAACAGAAAACTTAACAAACCCACATTTTAAAAGACTATATCAGGCACTATAATTTAAAACAAAATTATTGTGTTCTTTCTTTGCCACTGTAAGCTAGGGCAGATGCTTGTCTGCTAAGTGAAAGAGGTTGGTATTTATTCCATGAAAGAAGCTCGTACCAAGCGATGCTCCTCCATGTTTATTTATGTGTGTTTATCTGTCTTCACTACGTTCTATTTCAGTCTGAATAGAGACCGCAGCTAAAAACTGTCAGTAGCAGGTATGTCTTGTGTGGTTGCTTGACAGGAGCCATATTTATTTCCTACTCCTTTTATTTTCTCACTTCCCTGCTAGAAAATGGCAGAGGGGTGTATTTGGTATTGGGGACAAAATATAAAGACAGGTCAGAGGGGGCAATTACGATCTCTTAACTTTTTAAGTGTTTGCTTGTTAGTAAATCTATATAGGTTCTTATGCTCGTCACAGCCTGTAGTTGAGCGGTAATCTAGTGAATTTTATTGCTATATGTAGCTGAGAGGCCACCTGGTCTTCAGTTGCCACTGACAGGTGATAGAACTGAGCTGGAGATGTAGAGAGATCCCAGGTAGTTGCAATCCTTTTTACATTTTCTGGTGAATCCTCTTGGCTAGCTTGGACCAATCCCCGGGCTCTGAAGTTCTTTTTGCAGTTCCCATGTTACCAAGGAGATCTGTGAGTCCGCTGTACCATGGGCACTTGGAAGACCACAGATGGATGATGGGAAGCGAGAGCTTTGAGCTGAGCGTCACTGCCTTTGGAGACCACAGGGCATTATGGACAGCCACCTTCAGGCAGGTGGTCGACATGTCCTGAGGAGGCCTTGGCCTGGCCACCTAGCAGTGAGGGTTGAGTTTTGGGCTCACATTCCTCCTAATCCAGATCCCAGCACCCACTTTCCATGGTCACTTCTCATAAGCTCTTCTATTAGTAACATCAGGCTTGAGGGAAAGTGCACCTTTCCCCTGCCTCAGTGCTAAAAGAAGAGAGAGCACATAAAAAGTGGATGTTTCCTGAGGATCTCGGTGGACCACCTTTGTAGACAGAACTTCCTGTGAGTTATGGCTATAATCCAGTATTTCCCAAATCATGAAATGGACCAATTTTGTGTTATAGATTATCGCTCTTAATAAAACCAAAGAACGAATGCGACCTTACCAAAGCAATCAAGAAGATGAGGATCCAGACATCAAGAAGATTAAAAAGGTAGGGCACTGGAGGTTCCCGGCTTGCAGGAGCATGGCGACCGGTTGTCTGTTCTGCGGTGATGTGTTTGCCATCCTGCCCCTGAGCTGGGAGCAGCCTCGGTGTTTCTGTGATAATGGCTCCTAGACGTGTCCTTCATCGGCCACTCTGGAGAATTTCAGCTGGAGATGTCTTTCCACTCTCTGGGAAGGATGAGTTCTCCAGTTGAGTTAATTAAATGCTGTCGAACCTCTTGATTTTGTGCTGCTTCCATATTTTGGGGGAATATTTTTTAAATTATAATACAAAAATATTTCTTTTAGCTTTAGTCTTTTGTGCTATTTAGGAAAGATTATTTTTGACATGTGAGAAGATTGAATAAATCAGCACATCCACTCAGATTTCTGTTTTATTACTGTTGTTTCTTGTATAATATCACACAATCAGCAGATCTTTCCATCTTACTGTCAGTTATAATTGCACAGCTTTTACATGAACCAGACACTGGCTCTTGCGCTAGCCCACTGTGTTTTGATTTGTATCATCTAGGTTTTGACTTCATCATCTCAGTTGTCCTGTGTAAAGCACTTACTCGGCTTTGTTAATTTATGTAAAAAGCTTTACATTTAAGCAACTTTTCCTGGATATACATCTTCAAATCTGTATTTCTTCTTAATTTTTTCTTATTCTTGTTTTTCTATGCTAATAATTATTCCCCCTTCACTGTAACACAACTTTAACTAAATATTGCTCAGGATTTGAAATAGAAATGATTCTTGGGACTAAGTTGAATGTTTTCAGTTGTCAAGAAATAAAAAAGTAAAATAACACCATTTCATTTCTTAGAATTTAAAAATGTTTATTTGAATCTGGTTTATGTTACTGTGTTGCAAGATCAATTCTATTGCCTTTCTTTTAATAGTATGCAGTTGCATGTAAACAAAAATATTAATAAAATCCAATTTTCAGTTCTGTGGTAGAAACTGGTCTATTAGTAAATAAGTGAACCAGTTATTGCTCAATAGGCAACCACTGCCCAAGTAAATAGAAAAGCTTTATTTAGCACAGAATTCACTTGAGTTAATTTTTAAAAATACTTGTGTTAAATGAAATAATACCAATAAAATAAATATCTTTTAGATTTTTATACCTTCCTTTCTTAATAGAAATAATTTTTAAACCTATTTTTGAACTTATTAAATAGGATTTGAAATTAACTTTGTTGTTCTTTATGTCCTAAATCAAAATAATGTCTGTGTGGAAAGGAGTGTTAGCAAATGAATCATTTCTCTATTCTGATCTTGGTAAATATCAATATAATTTTTTTACTTCAAGAGATCAAAACTTAAAACTGATTATAATTCACAGAAATTTTTTATTAGATTTCCCCCAATAATGTGCATGTTAATTTCCCCACTCAATTTTGTTAAAATATGGTTAATTTTTATGGAGGTATAACAACTTGAACAACTGTATGAAAACTGATAGTATGATGACATTGGTAGACAAATGAGAGAAGAGAATTTTAAACATTACAAAAGAAAGGTAATTGCTTAAATACATGATAATTTAGACCATCTGGGTGAAACAGTATGGAAAAATAAAAAGTGTAAGGATGTGTTAAATAGATAATAATGATACTTCCAATTATATATGAATGTGTAATCTGCTTTATTGCTGAATCTGCCACATCTAAAGTGGCAAATCCTAATTATCATATAACAAATCTTAGTTATCTTTTTTTTTTATAGCTAGAAATGACTTCAGATTTTTTTGTCAATCAGTTTATTTTATTTTTATTTTTTGAGAGACAGGGTCTCACTATGTTGCCCAGGCTGCACTTGAACTCCTGGGCTCAAACGATCCTCCCATCTCAACCTCCCCAGTGGCTGGGACTACAGGCACGTGCACACCCAGCTCTGTCAATTATTTTATAGATGAGGAAACAGAGGACTGGAATTCAAGGTCACCCAGCTGGTGATTGGCAGAGCCTTTGAGTTAAGGATTATGATACCTGTCCGCTCGGTATCCAGCATTTACTTGGACATTTAAAAGATGATCAGTAAATGTTTGTTGGTTGGCTAAAACACACAGGCCCCAGTGCACTTTCTCAGGCTTGCCTGTTATTTTCAATCACATCTAGGAAATTCGAGGCTATCATGTTTTCTACAAAATTGATTTTTAGTTATATTTCATGTTCTTTTTCACAAAGTGATCACCACTGGAAATAGTTAATGTGTGTTTTGTCCATGTGGGTAGGAAAGAGAATCCTTGTAATTAACAAAAGGCAGGTGAAAGAAGACTGAATCTGGTGGCAGCTTGCCTAGCTGCATGACTTACTGTGAAATTTATTTTACTCATTTATGAAAGTAAGGCATTGGAGGTGCTGATCTCTAATGCTTTTTTTTTTAAACTTGAAAACAGAACAAAACAAAATCCAATAACAAAAAATCAAATAACCCAATACAAAATTGGCAAAAGATTTGAACAGACCTTTCACCAAAGATGGTAAACAAATGGGCAACAAGCATATGAAAAGATGTTCAACATCACTAATCATCAAAGAAATGAAAATCAAAACCACAATGAGATATCACTTCACACCTATTAGGGTAGCTAATATCAAAAAAAGAAAATAACAAGTGTTGCTGAGGATATGGAGAAATTGGAACCCTTGTGCACTGTTGGTGGGATTATAAAATGGTGTAACCTCTATGAAAAACAGTATGATGGTTACTCAAAAAATTAAAAAAGAACTATCATATGATGCAATAATCCCACTTCTGGGTATATATATCTAAAAGAAATGAAAACAGGATCAGAATCTTGAAGAGATATTTGCACACCCATGTTCATAGCAGTGTTATTCACGAGAGCCAAGAGGTGGAAGCAACCAAAATGTCTATCAACAGATGAATAAAAAAAATGCGGTCTACACATACAATGGAATAGTATTCATCCTTAAAAAGGAAGGAAATCCTGGCACATCCTACAATGTGGATACACCTTGAGGACATTATACTGAGTGAAACAAGCCAGTCACAGAAAGACAAATACTATATGATTCCACTCATATGATGTATCTAAAGTGGTGAAATTCACAGAACAGAAAGTATAATGGTGGTTACCATGGGCAAGGGAAGGGGTAAATAGGGAGTGTTTAATGGGTGTAGAGTTTCAGTTTTGCAAGACAAGAATGTTCTGGAGATATGTTGCAAAACAATGTGAATATACGTAACATTACTATACTGTACACTTAAACATGGTTAAGATGGTAAATTTTATGTTATGTGTTTTTACTATAATTTTTAAAAAAAGTCTAGTTGGAAAAAAAATGGGAAGGGAATGTCAGAGAGCTTGCTCACTGTCTGCACGTGCACACAAAAGGGGTCATATGAGCACACAGCCGAGATGGCGGCTGCCTACAAGCCAAGAGAAGAGGCCTGAGAATAAAACCTGTTTTGCCAGCACTTTGATCGTGGACTTCCCAGCCTCCAGAAATGTGAGAAATAAATTTCTGTCATTTAAAC